GTTCATTAACAAATTTCTTCATTTAATGTTGTTTTTAATACTATTATTATTTTTTATTAATATTCATAATATGTATCTGTTTTATTACATGTATACACACATAATCATTTGTAATCTTTGCATTTTGTAATTATAATGTTTTGAAGATGTGGGAGAGAGAGAGACTTTAGGAGACTTTGTGATAAGTTAAACTGTATGAGAGAATGTATGTTGGAGTGAGACCGAAAGTTTATGAAGTGTATAGTTTCACCGGGATTGGATATACATTCCATTGTTAATGGGAACCACATGTTCTTGTGGTATGTATGTGTTACTATGGTGATGCAGTTTTTTCTTGGTCAGTAGTATTTAAACTGAGTCCCTTTTATCCGAAAAGCAGGAAGAGATGATAACGATGCAGAATGAAGACCTCTGTTTCTCTTCCTCCTATGTCTTATAAATATTGTAAATCAATTCGAGAGATCTCTTGGCAAAATCACTGGTGTCTCTTTTCATGGGGAAAGAAAAATACGTTTTTTTAGATCTACAATTTGGCGTCACGAACAGGATCGCATACCCAGGCATTCGTCTCAATCATTTCAGGTAAGACTTTTTTTTCCTTTCTAAAAAGTTTTAAGTCTGCCTGATGATTAGAGACAGTGACTGAAATGCTGAAAAGAACTGTGTTATTTTAAGTACCAGTTGTTTTGCCAATGAATATGGGACATAAGGAAAAATGTATATAAAATTAATCAAGTTAAATAATCAAATTGAATTTGGCTTATTTAAGGTCTCTGAAAAGTAAACCTCAAACAATATTTGAAATGCTGGGATAGAGATGGATCTTTTTTAGAAAAAAGGCCATCTAGTCAGAAAATTGGAATTAGCTGTAAAACGGTTAAGCTAGTAAAATTTGCTTGGTTATAACTGTGACGTGGTTTGATAGTGGCGGGACTGTTTAAAGAAGGCAGAGTAATCCCTAAAACATCCAGCACACCGAAGATTCATTCTCAGAAGGAGACGAGGAAAGTATGACACAAGCGATACTTGATTGACCAAAGTGGTTAAATGTGGCGGGACTGTTTTAAAATGATGGCAGAGTAATCCCTAAAACATTGTAACACGCTAGAGTTATACAAGTATAAAAGGCGCCCTTGTAACTAGCTAGGATCGTGGGCATTCTGAACCTGACCGTAAAGCTGTTCAAATATTTGAGGAGACTGATCCGAGTTAACTAAAAATAAATACCAAAGAAATGAATCTGAGATAAAATCCAAACTATTTGAAAAGAAAGAGGAAAAAAAAAGAAACGGTTTTGAGTTTTAAAAAGAAAACTAAAATACTGAAAAGCATTAGAGTTAACTTTTCTTTAAATGTTTCTTTTGTTCTGTGAGTGAGGGATAGAGAAAGAGAGTGAAGCAGCCCCTCCCTTCAGAATTGCCCTGTACCTTCACACACACATACCTACACACACACACACAGCCTGCAGCTCTGAGCACACACACATACCTACACACACACACAGCCTGCAGCTCTGAGCACACACACATACACATACACAGACAGCCTGCAGCTCTGAGCACACACACATCACATAGGCTGCAGTTTCTGAACATAGACGCACATACATACATAGCCCCTCCGGTATAATTCACACACACACATATAGGCACACATACTGAGTGCACAGATTTGAACACTTTGAAAATGGCAGCAAGTGTCTGTACCAGTATGATAGCTGAATGGTATCTTGAAAAGAAGAAGAACAAGAAACTAACTAAACTTTTGAAAAAAGGACTGGACAATAATGCATCTATGGATGCACAGTTAAGCTGGTTTGAGTCCCAAAAAGACAAGATAAAATCAAAAGCATTTCCAATTTTAGCAGATAATTGGATCGTGAAACAAGGTGGAATTTGTTGCGATTTAAATGGTGGTCCCGTTCCACTTGTGGAAGTGATGAAGCCTCAAATTGAAGCATACCACAAATTAAACAAAATCATGTCCATCACATGTCCAGAGAAAGAAAACACAACCAGTGATGATTTATTTGATCCAGATTGGACAAATATAATAACTGAAGCTGAAAGGAAATATTCACAAGCACCAGTGAAATCTGCGGCAACTGTAACGCCTCCACCTTACAAACCAATTTGTCCACCTTTGCCTGAACAATGCACAAGTTCATCTAAACCTCTGACGCAGCCTCAAGCTTCAAGATCAAACGGAGGTCCAGTTGACAAAATGTATATTGCATCTGCACACACAGCTCCAATTATAACAAGATCTAAATCAGCCCAGCCAAGCAGAGACATGATGAGATGTACACCAGCTCATAATTATAGATCTGACTGGGGTGATGAGACAAGGGATGACGACATGATCACAATTGACAAGATTGGTCCTGAATTTTCTTCACCTGTGATTAAAAGGGAAGAGTCACAACCTGAGATGATGACTGAAGAAAGACCATTCACTCCAGGAGAATGACAAGCCATTCTCCCAGCCTTGCCTCCTCTGAAGAGACAAGATCCAAACACAGAGTGTTTGAATTGAATTGAGAATTGAGTCTAATTTTGGCGAGAATTAGACTCTCTGGTTGAAGCACATCAAATGACACTAAGAGACATTCACACCATTGTGAAAGCTAAAATCCCAAGAGACCAATGGGAACGCCTGCCAGCAGTGATAACAACAGCCCAATGGATAGACTTTGGGGTTGATGGCCAGGGAAGACACCTGGGTCTTTGGCAAACATTAGACGAATTTCGAAAAGAAATCCAAGAAATCTTGGGCAGCGGTAAAATTCCATTCACTTCAGTGACATTGATTAAGCAAAAGGATGATGAATCTCCAGATGAATATGCTCTGCGTAAGTGGAATGCTTATGAGAGATGGGCTTTCTGCGCTAAGAAACAACCTGACAGAGATGATGTACAATTCACTGACACACTTGTGGATGGTTTTAGCTCTAAATACCAACAAGCGTTATCACTTGGAGTCAATCCAGGCGAGACATTTGACCAAATTATGCAATGGGCTGGCCGTCTAGAGATGGCGATGAGATCAAACCTGGAAGAAGGAAACAAGCCAAACCAAACAGGAGTGGCGACAGTTCAATACAACATGGACATAGAGAGGTGGTTGAAGATTTGCAGCAATTGTGGAAAGTGTGGACACTTAAGAAAAGACTGTTGGGCTAAAAAAGCTGGAGCAGAAGGTCAAGGTCCATCTTTTAAACAAGTCATTGTGAAAAACCATGATGAGACTTCTCAAGGGAGGATGTGGACTGAAGCACAAGTTCGTCAACTCATTGAAGGAATTTTGTGTAACTGATTACTGGAACAGCAATGGTTCTACTTCCTGATGTTATGCCATCTACAGAAACAGGAGGAGACTCTACTTTTTTTTCAAGAGAAATTATGATGCTATTTCACAATGCTGGACAAAATTACCAAAGACAATAATAGAAAGTGAATTCAACAGCAATGGGATGAAAACACACCACTACTGATATTCCACACATTCCTGTGGGAATTTTGTTATAGTCAAACTTGTTGTTAGGAAAGGTTTAGAACCTAGATAGGAGAGACCATACAAGATATTCTTAATAACAGATACAGGTGTTTCCTTAAAAGGGAAGGGTATAGGAACAGATAGATGGTATCATTGGTCACAAGTTAAACCTTGCTTAGTGAATAACAAAATGATGATGGCCTATGGTTTAAGATTGAGCAAATCTAAGAATTGATTTTTTTAAAATACTGGAAAAAGTGATGATTAATTATTTTTCTGCTTCCATTTCAGGAATCAAGTTCATTGACATTAATTAGAGATGGTTGTAAGTTATTCTTGTTAAAAGACATTGATAAAACCGAAATGAGAAATACGGTGTGAGATAGGAGATTTTATGTTCTACACTACTTACAAAACACAACCTCACAAACAATGAACACCCGCTTACTGATTTACAACCCCAAGGGATAGGAACCTTTAACATCAATGTTTATTTTGGTTGTTGTTTTATCACGGAACTGAAGGATTTAATTAATTAACGAGTTAATTAATTAATGAGTTCAGGCACGGGCAGAAGACTTTTTTTAGTTTTTCTTTTCTTAGATGATTGGGGTTCATTTTAAATGCTTACACATAGATGTTAAATGACACATAACATACGGGGACATAACATGGGTTGGGTTTTTGTTTGTTATTTGTTTTCTTTTCTTTTCTGTTTCCATTCTTCTGTTCTTTTATGTCTATGTCTTGGTCTACTATTTCTCCTCGCCACTATCACTTCAATAGGCTGGCCACCTGGAGATGATGGTGTGGAACTGACTGTCGTAGTTCCAGAGGAGGGACTGAAAATTCAAAATCTCTTCATTTAATGTTGTTTTTAATACTATTATTATTTTTTACTAATATTCATAATATGTATCTGTTTTATTACATGTATACACACATAATCATTTGTAATCTTTGCATTTTGTAATTATAATTTTTTGAAGATGTGGTAGAGAGAGAGACTTTAGGAGACTTTGTGATAAGTTAAACTGTATGAGAGAATGTATGTTGGAGTGAGACTGAAAGTTTATGCAGTGTATAGTTTCACCGGGATTGGATATACATTCCATTGTTAATGGGAACCACATGTTCTTGTGGTATGTATGTGTTACTATGGTGATCCGAAAAGCAGGAAGAGATGATAACGATGCAGAATGAAGACCTCTGTTTCTCTTCCTCCTATGTCTTAAAAATATTATAAATAAATTCGAGAGATCTCTTGGCAAAATCACTGGTGTCTCTTTTCATGGGGAAAGCAAAAGAAGTTTTTTTTAGATCTACACTAGCCACTGTGCGTAGGCCAGATTCTGCCAGATGATGCAGTAAATTTAGCATTGGCTGAGAAATAGCATTTAAGCATACACATGACATGACATGACATGACATGACACAGCATATTCCTTCGGCAAGGTGGTACACTGAGAGCCAGAGACAGACAGGGAGACAGATAATGGTCATACTCTCAAGGTCCAGGATGGTCTGATTGGTGTGCAGACTAACTGCCCGTTGCTGCTCCACCTGGTCCTCCAACTCAAAGATGGTGTCTTTCAGGTCCTTGATCCGGTTCTCAGCATCTTTGCACTTCTCCTTTAGAGCAAGAATGTTGGCTTTATGATCTTGTTCCTGTTTCTCCACCTTTTCTAGCAACTGTTGCCGGTCTGCCTCCACCTGTACATACAGACACATACATGTCTCAAAAAAATGTTACTATTTTTTAACACAATAGTGCAGCTATTCCGGGATCATATATCTTATAAGGCCCTTCGATGCAATAACGGGTTAAATGATTTAACTGTGCGAGCCCTGCACACAGACTGCAGTCTTTGGCCTTTGACTAATCAAATAAAAAGTATAGAGTTTATTGGTAAAACCTAATTACAAAACAAAATATTTTTTGTATATGGATTTGAAGAACTAAAAACAAACTAATCAGAGCTGAGGGTTTGCGTCAATACTGCCCATCCCATATTTCCTATTGTTTTTGGCCACACACTCCTCTTATTTGTAGGAATTTTGTGCTATTTTAAAGGGGGGGGTTGACTGCTTTTTTTCTTTGCATGATTGTGTTTATGGGGTGCAATATAACATGTATTCGTGTTTTTTCTTTTTTTTTAAAAGTCTTATTTTTCATAAACTTCACCTTTATTGTCAGCCGCGCTCTCCTCTGTCCTCGAACGAGCGGTTGACTTCCTGAGTCTATGAAACCACTCCCTCAGAAACAGGCAGTGGGCTCAGATTGGTTAGTTTGGCCCGGTGTGTTGTGATTGGCTAAACTGTCGCTCTCGTTGTCCGGAAGGTTAACGGCCATTACCTTTACGGGCGTAACGTGCATGTCATGAGCTCCGGTCCTGATGTAAATATGTGTCGAACTGCATTATCAGTTTGAGGCAGAATCAGACCGAGAAAGCCGCGATGAAGAAAGCCAAACAGAACCTCACCACACACGGCTCTTACTAAACGTTTCTGAATGATAATTTGCTAAATTTTTTAACTTTATACATGTTTGTTTTACACAATAGCATCTGACTGGCAGCAATAGCAACTGACTGGCTACTAATGTTATACTCAAACAGCGTTGGCAAGTTTACGTTCTTGATCAAATCGAAAATAACGTCATAAAACATGTATACATGAAAGATATATATTTTATGTCATAGATAGGGTGACCACCTGCTAATAAGCCCAAGGGGGGACAAGGGGTATGTTTCTGAGGGACAATGTGGGACACTGCTTGGCGCGGCGGTGCCCCCACCCCACGGGCAGACTCTGATAGTGGTTTATCCATATCTAGAATTGTTACTATTGCCTTACTGTTTGTACATGAATAATTGTTAAAAAAAAGCACATACCTTAGCACATGCATTAATAATGCCCTATTCCCTAAACATGTGTAATTGCTGATATATTCTCATGAACAGGCCAACCAATGTGTATTTGTTTTCTAAATAAAGATGAATATTTTGAACATTCATTTACTTTTTCATTTACTTTAGCTATTTAATTTTATTTATTTTTTATTACAATTAATTCACTTTAAATCAATAAAAGTATAAAATTATAGGATTAACAGGAATTATAGTTGCTCAACACCTAAGGAACAGTTTAAAAAAAGTCGAAAAAAAGTCTAAACTCACAACTCCAGAGGTTCACGGAATGAGAAGCTGCGCTGTCATGACAACAATGAAAAAGTTGACATCAACCTAGTCAGCAGGTCACGTGGGAGTGGCAACCAGTCTTGATGAAGTTCACTTTCTACATGAACTAGTTCAAAGTTCAGTTCACACATTTTAAAATGAACTAGTTAAGTTCAAGTTTGCACAGAAATGTAAGATTTTTCCCATCTTCACCGACCTCGTTATAAAATCCGTTTAAATTATCATACGACGCCTTTGTCGACGGCGGCCGCGGTGCGACACTGGTGGCTTGTGTTGCCAGATTGTGTGTTTTTTCGCTACATATTGAGCCCTGTTTAAGGTGAGTTTTAGCAGGGTGTTAGCCTGGAAGGCTCTATAGAAATCTGGCACCCCATTGAACGAAGTTAAACTGAGAGAGCGTGCGTTCAGAGACACCAGAATGAACGAGTTCACACGTTCATCAGGACAGGAAGTTAAACAATACGTTCAGTTCACCCAAAATATGAACAAGTTCATGAACGTGAACGTGTTCAGGCACAACGTTTGGCTGCCTGCGTCTCGAGGATAAAGAGTGACCGACTTTTTTTTGAGCAAGCATTGATTATGCGTGACGCGGTCTCAATTTGCGGGACGCATGAATTGGGCTTCAAACGCTGTGCGCGCACGCGCTACGCGGGACGGGTGGTCACCCTAGTCATAGACATAAAATAGCATAACTAGTAGCCATAAAGCCAGCGCTGACATTTGTAAAAAATAACACACAAGGCTACGTCTGGAATTATACATGCAAATACATTTAAAATGATTAAGTCTTAGCCTACTTACAGGTTGTGGCCCAACAACTGCTGCCTCTGGTTTTAAAGTTGGAACTGCTTCATGTTTTATTTACAGTTTCTTGTTGAATCCGGCATTGAATTCGTGGACATTCTGGAAGCTGTCTTCCGTAAAATGCGCAGCACAGAGCTAGATTACGAGGCCATCCTTAAAAATATTTTGGTTTGCAGTAACAGCAATTTTTTTTTTAAAAAGGGTCGGTAGGTAGGACTATATTTTTTTTTTTTTCAAGATTCAGTGTAAAAAAAAAAAAGTACAATTTTGGTCATGGTGATCGTGAATTTTTATGAAAATGCATATTGTGACGTCTATTTGTTATGCATATATACATGAGATATAAGCAAAAACAAGTACAAAACACATGGTCAAACAAATAATACAATTAAACAAAGATACAAATTAGCCTATATACACAGTGCTTTAATTTCAGGAAGGTCTAAAATAAGCTACTTTTCAGTTAAGTCTGTCGCATTGTCTGAAAAGAAATTTAATTTAGTAATCAAATGTAAAATGACACTGCATAGTTTATCATAGTTAGATTAATGCTTATTAAAGTTTAAGTTATTCATTCAAGAGCTGTGTGTGATTTTTATCTGCCTTTTGTTGTTTGATTCGCATTACTGGCTCAATCGTCACATGTTTATTAGACTACTGCCCAGGGCCGGATTAACCATTAGGGCAACTGGGCACTTGCCCAGGGGCACACGACATCTAAGGGGCCCTGGACACCAGTGGCAATCGGGAGAGTCGGGAGTTTCCCAGGTGGACCGGTAGTGTTTCAAGGACGCGAGGAACAGTTTGATAAAATGGAACGTATTTATGTTTGTACTAAGTGCCTGTCTTTTATGAAAAAAGACGCCATTCACGTCACAGCTGCAGTGGCGTAGGTCGTAGCGCACAAAGCGCGTGAGTCAGGTTCTGTTGCGCTCAACCCGAGTTCGAAGTCTCTTCTCCCTTTTCCCAACACATATGAGATGTAAAATGTATAACCTAACATAGGTCTCTAGCGTTATATTTTGCCAACGAACTAAAATCGAAACCATGATATGGATTTTTGCCTTTATAAAACAGCACAAGACTTTAAGAATAGGCATCCTGTTAGTGCTGGGTGAATTAAAGAAAAGTGTGCACTTTGCTCACGCGATCAGGATGGTCATCTGGTGTTTTCTCCTAAATAGAAGCTAAAGGGTTTATTTCTTGTAAATGAATTAATTGAATTGAGTGTTAATTTTCCTATATTAAGTGAATTGAGTGTTAATTTTCCTATATTAGTGTAATGTAGACTAAAATAAAGGCTACTTTTGAAATATTAATTTTCATGTATATAGTACATTTATAAGCTTTATGGATTTAACGTCATAAGAATAATTATATAAATCATTATTACATTATTATAATAATTGTTTGGGATCCTAAAACACCATTGATAATGTTATGTAGACTGAGACTCAACTAATGTGTTTTCTTTGTTCAACGAGCAGTTCATGGGTTGAAGCTCTTAATTTTGATCTCTCAGAGAGCACGAGATTGTTGCATTTAACCTTAAAATGTAAAAAAAATTTCTTGCGGGGGAGCATGCCCCTGAACCCCCCTAGAGGAACAGTAAATCAGTAAAACTGTAAATGCTAAATTAAGGGTCCACCCAACATACTTTTACAAATTCCTGTAGGAAAGAACAACTATTTATGAACTTTACTCCAGCATAGTTCAACAAAGTTCGGTCAGTAAAACTGTAAATGTCATATTAAAATATACATTTGGCCTGCTTAAGAGGGGGCCTACAAGACATTGTGCCCAGGGCCCTCTGAACTCTTAATCCAGCCCTGCTACTGCCCCCTTTAAGACTGAATGCAGAACTCTACTGTAATAGATGACTGATGCACCATCATTTTCTCCCAACTATTTACGTCCAATTAAGACATAAACTGTGTTTAAATGAATCTCAGAGCAGGTCATTTTTATATTTTATGTATATTTGATAGTTTAGATGTGCACATGAAGCCCAAAATGAGGCTATAGCCTACTTTTCTTGTCTCGTTTTTGTACATTTCGGAGCGTGCATCGCCTTGTGAACAGCGTCTCTTGCACAGATTGTTGTGCTTTTAATAGCTCTTTTAATGATTGAACGCGTCCACAGTTTAGCAACAGTACAGACTGCATTTTACAACAATCACCGTTCGTGCTGATTCTGACGGTACGTTTGGGTTTTAGGAAGAAATGACAGCGCAAAGCTGTGAAGTGAAGGAAGTTAGAGCTAGACAGAATACGACTGTAATGGTTTCATCTCAAATATCATCTTTTTAGAATCTTTGAAAGCAGAAATCTAAAATACAATTAGAATAATATCCCAGATCTAAAGTGTAACCATGTTCTGTCCTCATTGTCACTCATTAAGCAGGGCTGTCGTGCTGTGCACGCTGTGGCTCCGAGTGAGAGCTCGCTCTCTCTTCTGGACTGCTTATAGCAAAATTGCATCACAGACAAATTGTTTAATATTATTATTATATATAGAAATGGTTGATATTCAGCCCCGTTGCCCGTTTAATACCGGGTTTACCAAGCGGGAACACTGAATGAAACGAGCGAACGTACAAGCCATATAGTGTAACACGCGTAACGTTAAACCATGGTGTAAACATAATCGAATGACTATGACGCCACGGGTTTTTATTTAAAAGAAAGAACGTAGCCTACGTTTGTAGGCTATGTAGACACAAGCAACTTTCACAATACTAACTAAAATATAATTAATATTATTTTATTGAATTTGAATTAGTCGTTTAAAGAGTAAAAAAAAAAAAAACGGTCGGTCTGAACGCAAGTTACAACCGGCAAGTCGGTCGGACGAAAAGGAAAAAAAATAAAAAATTGGGTCGGCCCTAAATTGACAGGGTCGGTCGGGTTACGGCAATTTTTTTAAGGGTGGCCCGATCGTCATTTTCAGGAACATCATCAAACATAAATTGTATCCATTGTTGACGAAGTACAGCGTCCGTGGGAAGCTCGAACACAGAAGACCTGACAGCTGGGTGAACATAACACACTCGACGAGCCGCAGAAATATGTGCATGCCCTTTTTTGCATATTCCGGAGGGAGGGGTTGATGCAAATGTGTGGGTTAGTGACGTCTAAAACCCAGCTGTAGTCCCAATCGAGTCGTTTTTGTAAGGCAATATACTTCCTGATTTTTAAAAGACGATATCTCTGCTTACACTAAACTTTCAGCGCTGTAACTTTTCAGATACTGTTCATGCACCAACAGCAACCTTATAAATAAAATAAGTGAAGTTGATTAGTTAGTTTATTTATGTTTATGTCTACACTACTCAATATAAAAGTTATTTTACAATATAAAAGTTATTTTAAATTGTAATGATTTTTATTTAACAATATTACTGTTTTACTGTATTTTTGATAAAATAAATGCATCCTTGCTGAGCATGAGACACTTTAAAAAACAATACAAAATCTTACCGACCCCGAACATTGTAACTGTAGCATTTAAGACAATGTGTTAATGTTAAGACAATAGTTTTTTTAAAACATCTTAATATATATATATATATATATATATATATATATATTAAGATGAATTAAAAAAAACTATTGTTTATATATATATATACACACACAAACACACACACACACACACACACACATAAATAATATTCAGAATTCAAGTTTTACAGGTTTCAAGCACAAAACACAGGTATATGCAGACTGTCAGAGACGAAAACTCTCTCTAAATATCACAAAAATCTATCTTGCATAACAACATTCACAAGATTACTTTATTCATTCATCCAACAAGATTTTTTAAACAAATTCCTCACCACAGACTGAATAATCAGTCTTAGGCCGCATCCACACTACTGCGTTTTTGTTTAAAAACGGATAATTAAAACAAATACGATCTCCGTCCACACCAACATTTTATCTGTGTATTAGAATTGATCTCCGTCCACTTAGAGTGCCGAAGTTACGACGTCACTCTGTAGGCCAAAACGCGGAAGCGAGTTAGCATTTTAGCACCACCGGTTCCCTCGCTCTAAAGTCTATGGGATTTTTTAATGGGTTTTGGCTAAATCGCCTGAAATAAGGTCTGTGGTGAACAAAGCCTCTAAATATTTTCATGTTTTTATCTATAACTTAGAAGAACACACAGTTATAACCTGCTTGTGTGTTTTTTTTTACTTTATTGTGTCTGCTTGTGTTTTAAAAAATAATAATATAGGTTTCAAAATGTATACATCTTGGATTAACGTGTAAAGATTATCTTAATAGACAAAACCTGTAAGGGTCACAACTCTTTGTTAAGCACAGATCTTATTTTTTGCGATTAACCAAAAAAGTCTACGGGGAAAATGCATAGCTTTTTCATGGGAACCCATGCGCCGCTAGCTTCCGAGTTGTGATGTCATCACTTCGGCACTCTATTAAAACGACTGAAAACGCGGATCACGTGACCATTCACCAACACTGGGCATGCGCGTGCCGGTGTAAACAGGAAACAGATTGACTATTCCCAAAGAAGGTACATTGATAATAAAACTGAAAGCCAACAGAGTGCTGAAGTGATGACGTCACTATGTAGGACAAGCTGTCCTACAAAGTGACGTCATCACTTCAGCACTCTATAGAACGTTCCATTGCAACACCAGCGCCCAGCAGTAGCCCTACGCATTCCGCCATTTTGGGGTGAAAGCGACACGGCAGCGGCTCGGCAGTCATATACAGTATTATACATATATTTAGTCCAGTGCAGAGGTCATTTTTAGGTTAAAATAATTAGGTGATTATTTTAATACACAACAGTTGATGTTATAGCTGTTAAAAAGAAGTTGCTACTTAACCGGGCTTTTTCCCCCACATAACTTGAGAAAGGGAAGTTAAAGGATTTAATTAATTATATTACTCTCCACATTAAGTGTGACAGGTGAGAATAAAGTGATATTAGTTCATAAAGTTATAATAACTTTAGACCGTTTCCAGGAGGTACACATAACATTACATACAAAAACAAATTATCAATGTAATAAATGAATTCAGCAAATAAATGTAATTGTACTAAAATGTAAATGTAATAGAATAGCTTTACAGTAAACTGTTTTTTTTTTTGCAGTATTATCTTATATTAATGACCGTTAAAGCAAGACTATGTAAACATAATAATAATAATTAAAAAAAAAACATAGCCACTGTTCAAAGTGGCAATTAAAGTTATAGGATAAGGACACAGCAATGCATCATGTTCTATAAGATCATCGTGTTTGTAGAATGAACCATGGGATTAAAAAGTACAAAATATATTTCTATATTGGAGTTGTTAACTAATAATAGTAGTAAATGTGTAAAGTTGCATAAAATGGAAATACTCTCTAATGCAAGAAAAAACTAGCTCAAAAAACTGTTAAGGCCCGTACACACCGGGACGAATATCAGCGCGCGTTATTCGTCAGCATTTTTCAAAGCGTTTTTTGTGTTCACACCCAAGCGTTTTTCGCTGACGATGAGCCGAGTGAACATGCAAATTCATTCCCTGACATTAGATTACGCTTAATGTAAAACTGAAATAATAATAGAATACTATACTAGGGTGATCATATTCATGTCTCAATGTTTTATTATAACAGATAGAAAAAAACGAATGAAATAATGATAGAAATAATATCTTCTGTATTAGAAAAATATATAAATAATCAATAACTAAAAGAAATGCCTCCAAATGTAACAAAAAATAGCTCTCACACACTTACAAAAACGAACTAACAAAATCTATTCATATCTTTAGTTTTCATTCTCTTTATCTTGTTTTTCTTCCTCGTCCACCTTGTTTGCCCATCTATATTTTGCTGTAGGACTGATCTTTCCCAGCAGTTTTTTTGAGAACCAGGACATTTTCATCACTTAAAAACAGTCAGGAAAGGACGTGGAAACAGGACATGTGTAACGCAAAGTTGAGATGTTGCCAGGAGATAAAAACATAGCAGTTGTCGGATGAACAGATGCACAAGAGACGAGAGTTGTCGTATTTCCCCGCGTTTAATAAAACCACTCAAACGTCACACTCGTCCTCCTCATACATCGGGATCGAGCGAGAAAAAAAAAACACAAACAAACATCTGGTCACAATAGAAAATAAAATAAAAGAAAGAATAGAAAGAGTCGGCAGAGCGGTTATCTCCTCTCCTCACTTGTCACAGATTTCTATAAAGCACAAAGTGACCGTTTTACACATGTCCCGGGAAAACAGGACTGTTGGTCACCCTATACTATACTATTATTACAGAAATACTAATCTAAATATTATCATATAGCTCTTTATGCTCCGAGACCAGCAGCTCAACATTCATCTTGCCCATAGGTATCTTGTCTCTTCTTCGCCGTATGTGTGCTCGGCAAGACCGTTTTGTGTTTGAGTGCCCTCAAGTTGTGTTTTACTGTAACTTCAGAAGTACCAGACACGTGAGCAAACCCGCCAATCTCGTTGGTCGGACAGGTTTTGACGCGGCGCGTCAAACCAAAAAAACGAACCCGAGGCGTTTTTTAAAAAATGACGCTTTTACGCGTGCCGTTTTTCGCGTCGGTGTGAACACTCACATTGGCGCCCATTGTTTAGTCACGAGGCGTTAAACGTCGACGAATAACGCGCGCGAAATTCGTCCCGGTGTGAACAGGCCTTTATCTGTGCTGTTGTCCAGTTGGACAACTCCAGTTGGAATTTTCACCCCAAAATGGTGGACACAACACCTAGTGGCGGTTACCAAAAAAGCATCAGAGTTGATTGACATCTTTTAGATGTGTTATTGGCATCGCCACCCTCTGGTTACATGAACGTGTCCCCACCGTATCAGAACCGGAAAGATGGGGATTTTTTTAAAGACAATAATCGCAAAACCTCTTTGATATTCTATAATAAAATAAACTAAGCAAATATTCGAAAATTGTGACTCATCCCTTGTGTATACTATATGATCACCTGTATTCACAGGACATTTTACAATTTGCATTACAAATTGTGCTACCTTACAGTTGTAGTTGCATCTGTGGATGATATGCTTATTGGATACGAGCATTACCAAATTAAATAAACAAATAACTGGCCGGTGTTTTGGCCACTTAAAGATTATTTGAATTGTGTGATACCTGCAACTTCATATCATAAATTACCAGTGCTGTTCTATACCTTATCTAGCGCACCCTGAGCACTCTCCGTTTTACTACGTACCTCCTGCAGTTCTTGGCGTAGCTCTGTGCAGCTCAGCTCCAGCTTGTCTCTATCTTCATGTGCCGCTTTGAGCAGACTTTTCAACTCGGTGTTGTCACTGGCGCTCTGCACTGCCTTCAACTCAGCTACCTTCTGCCTCTCCACCTCAACCTGTGCCTTCAGATTGACATTCTCCACTCTCAAAGCCTCCGTGGCTAGCCGCTGTTCCTCAGTTTTCCTCACCGCCTCATCTCTAGCAACCTTCTCGCTATCCAGATGCCCTTGAAGAAGCTCTAATTCTTCACTTAAGCTCTTAACAGCATTTTGTGTCTCCTGATTCTCCTTTTCCAAAGCTCTAAGACTCCCTGTGAGCTGCTGCTGGATGTCAACCAGCTTCTCTCTTTCGAAGTGGGAGCTCTCCACTTGCTCAGCCAAACGCTGTTCAAGCTCTGCAACCCGAGATGCACGTGAAGCCTCAGCTTCTTGACTTTGAGCTTGTTCTCTGAGCCTCTGGAGAAGGGACTCGTTCTGTTGCGCCAAGAGTTCTACACGCTCCCTTTGCTGCTGTAGGGAAGTCTGTAAGAGGCCCTTCTCCTCCGCCAGACGCTCATTTTCAGCTGTTAGCTCTTGGACAACCTGTTGCTGGTCAGCCAGCTCCTGTAGAGTGGCCTGTAGTTCTTCGGCTGTACTGTGGTGACTTTCTTCCATCTTCTGGATGCGGTCTGTCAGGCACTCCACTGAGAGCTCCTTCACCACACCACTGGGCACCACACTCTTAATGCTGCTACTGACTGAGTCTGAAAGTGAGGGAATATTCTCAAACTCTGAGGAGTCTGATGAGGGTAAAGGTGAGCCTTTGATGTCACTACCAGATGAGAAAGAAGATTTAAGGTGGCTTCCATTGACAGCATCTGAAGTGGTGTTATCTGATAAAACCCCATTAACTGAATGCTTGCTGGAGCTGGTGAGCAATGTTGTAGTGCTCTCTAATGTAATAAGCTTCTGCTTCAAAGCCTGATTCTCTTCCCGCAAGGTGGCCAACTCACGCTGAAAACGTCCATTCTTCTCCCTCAGTTCCCCTATGAGCACCTGAATATCACCAGGCTGTGCTGGTGTCTTTTCTATCTCTGAATTCCCCTCTGGTGTACCAGCCTCTGATGATGAATCCTTCCCTTTATGTCGTTGGAGCTCCGTCCGTAACTTACTGATCTCAAACTCTTTGGTTTTGGCCTCAGCCAGAAGCTCCCTCACCTGACTCTCCAGCAGGGTCTTGTCCAAAACAACAGACTCTGCTTTGGTCTTGACAGAGCCACGAGAATGCTTGGCCAGCGTGGACAGGCTGGAGGTGCTGGCACTGCTGATCATCTTTTTGGCTGTAGAGCTTTTCTGCTGGTCCCGCAATGAGAGACGTTCTCTGGAAATGCTTTGTGGGATCTCACGAGGAGCTGGAATTCCTGACTTTTTGGTTGACTGGACACCTGGGTAGAGAGGAAATAATGATGTTTTGTTAGTGTTGGATATCTTAGTCATAGTATATGCTAGCATAGTATATGCATAGTAAAAGAACTGAAGAAATGACATTAGGAATTAAATGCTTTTCTCCAAAACACGCTGGCCATAACTATTGGTTCCCGTTATTAAATACTTTTTGCAACCTCCTTTTGCCAAGATAACAGCTTTGAGTTTTCTTTCTTTAATGCCTGATGAGTTTGGAGAACAACTGACAAGAGTTTAGAGACCATTCCTCCATACAGAATCTTTCCAGATCCTTCAGATTCACAAGTTCATGTTAGTGGTTCTTGTCTTCAGTTCACCTCACTCATTTACTATAAGGGTTCAGTTTAGGGGACTAGGCATGAAGCTTCATTTTGTGCTCAGTTACTAAATTTTGTGTTGATTTTGATGTTTGTTTTGAACCGTTGTCCTGATGGAAGATCCAACCACGGCCCATAATAAGATTTTTAACAGAGGCAGTCAGGTTTAGATTTTTTTATCTGTTGGTATTTGCTAGAATCCATAATAGCATGCCTCTAAACAAGATGTCCAGGACCTCCAGCAAAAAAATAGGCCCACAAAATATAAGATCCAGCAGTATATTTAATTGTAGGCATGGGGTGCTTTTTATCCCTGTATGCACCAAACATATCTGGTGGGTTTGCTGCCAAAAAGCCCTTTTTTAGTTTCATCTGATCATAGAATCCGGTCCCTTTTGAAGTTCCAGTCATGTCTGACAACTAAATATACTGGAGTTTATTTTTGGAGGAGTGAGGAGGATTTTTCTTGAAACCCTCCCAAACAACATGTGATGATGTTTGATATATATTTTTTTAGGCTTTCTGACCCCCAAGACTCAAGTAATCTCTGCAGTTCTCCATCAGTGATCCATGGAGAGTCTTTGGCCACTCAAGATTTCCTCCTCACCATGCATTAAGACAATATAGACACACATCCTCTTCCAGGCAGATTCTTAAAGAGCCCCTAACATGGATTTTTGAAAATGACTGTTCATATGGTGTGGAATATAGCTCTAAGGGAATGAAAACATCCTGCAAAGATTTATATCTGAAAGTGCACCGTATATAAAGTTATTGTCTTTCAAAAGTGAGCGTCGACTCTGAGCCTATGAAATGAATTGTTTCTGAAACGAGTCATTAGCTGTTACATTGTGATGTAGAGAGGTCATTGGCCGTGCCCAGTTACTGCGTGCGCAGACGGAAGTGTAAACTTGAAGTCTACACATTCAAATACTTCATCATAGCATCAACGAACATGTGAAGAATCGGTGGTTAGAGTTCATATTTGCAACGATACCCCAACAGTATAGCCCGATTGTGTGTCATTTTAATGACGAATCATTCAAAAACATAAATGAATTCAAATGTGGATTCGCAAGCGGTTGTTCCTGAAGGAGGGCTCAGTAACTTGCTAACCCAGTGTATATGGATCAGCTTCCTCCTCCGAATCAAAACCTGTAAGTATTATTAATAATTGTTGCTTTTATGGGTTTTGAACGGTTTTGTAGCGTCGGGGCGCGAGGAGGGAAGACGCAATAAGTATGTGTGTGCGTGTGTGTGTAAGTTACGCTCAGCGCAGCTTCTAGGTCTCCAATGTCAATTTTTTTTAAATATGTGAAATGTTTGTCACTGTTATTGGAGTTGTCATAAAGAATAGAGCATCTTGTAGTACTGCAGTGCTTTATCAATATGTTTATGCGTTATGCTAACAAACAATAACTGACTGGGTCTGTCATCTGACCAATGACCGCCGATTAGCGTCACGCAAAGGAGTCGTTTGGAAAAATGAGTCGTTGTACGAATCATTTGGGAGTCGGTGAGCAAATCAGTTAAAGATAAATGCATATTATAAGACAAATAAAGTGTTTTTTATCCTTGCATGCATGTTAAACTGTTTTTGGGAACTCCTAAAACAAAAATAAGAACATTTCAAATGCTAGGATAGGGGCTCTTTAAGACCTTTAGTTGATTGGAACTTCTTAATTATTGCCCTGATGGGGAATAATGGGGATATTCAATTCTTTAGCTGTTTTCTTACAACCACTTTCTATTGTGTGATGCTCAACAATCTTTTGATGCTCATCAGAACTATATTCTTTGGTTTTACTCATTGTGATGGATGATTAAGGGAGTTTGGCCTTTGTGTTTCCACATATTTAAACTCCTGCGAAACAAGAAGTCATAGCTAGACAATTTCATATTTAGTCCCCCTGGTATGATAAAAAATGTAAATATTCATGAAAATATACTTCAAAGATATTTTACTCATAAAAAATCCTAGTGGAGCCAATAATTGTGGCCAACATGTTTTGGAGAAAAACATTTATTTCATAATGTTATTTTCCCCCCACTTTCAATTCTTTTACTTCAATGAAAGGTAATAGAGTTTTGTGAATCTTTTGAATGAAAGATCAAAAGGATAAACACAGCAGATTTATTTTTACAGCCATCTTTGATCATATTTCCCAGGGGTGCCAATAATTATGACAACAACTTGTATGTACAAAACTGTTTGAGAAATATGACCAAACAAAACCATTCCTCTGGGCAACTATATTTATTTTTTAACCTAATAAATGGTATGATAAAAATGAATGATGTTTTCATATAAATTAAACAGCAATATACTTTAAAAAAAACTAAAGCAACAACACTGTTTTGGTTAACCAACTCCTGTCCACCAGACCAGAGATATTTGACAATGTGACCATTTTTCTCATTCCATTGTACAAAGACTGGCATATCTATGTGAGAGATCATTCATTTAGAGTGATGACAGGACAAAATGTGTTTTGTCTCGTCACATTCAAATGGCCACCAGGCACTGCTACATTGCACTATAGCCACAGTAAATACAAGAACACTGGCATCTGAGTGGCACCAGAGTGGGTGTGGGTGATGTACATCCCCTCTTTATACTGTTTGCTGTTCATTATTCTTTGGCAGGGCAGGCTGGTGAAATGATTTTGTGGGTTTTGGAATAATCAGCAAATATACCAAAAAAAAAAAATGCTGGACTGGGGCTTGTTGAAGCTGATGTCTATCTTTGTTCTGTCTTTGATGTGTGACAGTTTACAAAAAACAGTTTACTGTAAAGCTATTCTATTACATTTGCATTTTAGTATAGCTGAGAGCTATTCTTCCTTTAAAATTAACCCTGAAAACATAATGTGGTCCAATGCAGGCTTAAAACGAAGTGGGAGATGAAATTACCCAGGATACCTTGCAAACTCAGTGAGCCGGCCAAATTTTCAAACAAAATGGCGGACAACGCTGTAAAGGAACAATTGACTGTTGAGTTTTGACAATTTTAACACTAATGTTTCAAAATATTTCACGAAGCTTAGCTATCTGATGATGTTCATGATATCTGCCAAGTGCTTTGAGAGAGTCTGCCCATCAAATTTACATCTGATCTGAGCCCGGTTCCCCAAAACGTTCTTTTCGCTAAGTAGTTCTTAACCTATTCCTTAACCTCTCTCTAAACTTTATGGCATGATTCCGACACATTCGTACGCTAAGTATATCTTCTGTAAGTCACAATTTCGTAAGGTTGGTCTGGACCATTCATATGCTCTCTCTTAGCATTGTTTGAGCTCAAGACGCTAGTCGCCGCCACTGTGCAGCAGTCTTTAGAAATCAGCGCAGCGCAGTACAAGTCAAACTATGGTATGTTGACAGTATTGTGGCTCAACAATCATTTTGTTATGGACATTTTAAGACTAATAATAAAACATGTTTGCAATAGATACAGGCCTATTTATGAAGTTGACTTTATTTGGTATCAGAACTATAATGGCGGCAATTAGCCTAGGCTATTTCATAATCTTATTAAAGCATTTAAATTGGCAATTACTTTTGATAATTACAATCTGGCAAACAACTTTGCTCTAAATAGCTAAGATCTATAAATGGGTAAAAATGGTGGTGTCCAGTAAGCGACCAACTATGGCAGTGATCCAACGTGTCCTTGTATTGAAGATGGCGCCGGCCGCGGAATTTTTTATTCGGTAAAACTTAAGCCATTTTGACATTTTGCCTGACGTGGCTATATTAAAAAAAATTGCCTCCCAAGACAACTCATTTTGGAGCTGCTGGACCTTCTCAGATCTGCGATTGCCAGGCTAACACGGCAGAATTTTGCTTTAAGCCCTTTAACCAATGGCAATAAATACTGCAAAAAAACAAAACAAAAAAAAAACAGCAGCTGTAGCAGCTTGCCAATCAATTCTGATTGTAAAGTACCTTACCATTAATATGAAAGTGAAGCCTATTACATAATTTTTAGAAGTCATTAAACCCATGTCAAGAAGCGGCACAAGTGGTAAGGCTCAATGGGATAAAGAGGGTGGATGATTAGCGAGGGATACCCGGTTCGTCTACCCGTCACAACATATCGTGTGAACATATTACTGACAATTTGATCATTTAATTAATAGTCTATATTTTACTGATAACTTAAACTATGTTAAAATAAATGTTACTGGAATAATTTGAGGAATGTTTCATTTGCATAGAACGTGTTGTCTTTCTTAATGCCGTAATGCACCTTCGTGTGAAGCAGAAAATCGATTCCTGAGCAATCGATGCCAACTAATTCAGTACTTTCACTTGGGAAAGCCCCTTTGTAACGTCGAACGAAAGAGGCAGCATGTTATGAAGCTTCCCAAGGGACACTTCAGGGAACACACCTAGGAAGATAAACAACTTTGGAAAGATATATCTTTCAAGTCTTCTTAGCGTGCTAAGAGTAAGCGTTATCGGGGAACCGGGCCCAGGGTAGTTAGTTAACCTAACTTTTTTGGCTTCCAAGGATTATAAAAAGATGATAAATGAGGTAAAACTATTATAAACTAGCCATGTTCGTCTAGCGCATCATCTTTCCCTTCACAACACACTGTCATCTCAAAAGAGCTATTAAAAGCACAATGATCCGCACAAGAGACGTTGCCCCTGTTCCCATA